CATCATCTAGTACCCTTTCTATGCCATCGCCTTCACCTCAACTACGTCTTTCAACAGGACAACGCCTCCATTCATGTGAGCCGTGCAACGGATGAGTGGCTGCAATGCCAATAAATAAGCGTCCTGCCATGGCCAGCCTGCAGTCCCGATCTCAATCCGATGGAACATATCTGGGGCATAATAGTCAGACAGGTTTATGCGAATAACCGTCAGTTCCAGGGCACAGAAAAGCTGAAGCGGGCAGTTGTCGAAGCAGGGAGAGCAATCGATGAGGAACACCTTGGAAACCTAGTTTCTAGTATGCCACGCAGACTCTTTGATGTTGCTCTTAAACAAGGAGGAGCTATAGATTATTAAGCATTGTACATATGCCATCAACGTTACTAAAACATTTATTTTCTCAGAGTGACCTTATAATTATGAAACGGTGCAAAAGCCGACACAATCTTTAAAAAATTCATAAAAAAATTAAGGTAAAGGATATTACGACCAAAATTTGAATACGGAGATACACTGTGATGAGGAATCTTTCTGTGTTTGCCAAAAATTCCATTCCGGATGCTTTCTCCAGAATCGCAAAAATCGAGGGTGACCTTATAATTATGAAACGCACTGTAGTACGACCAAAGATCCTTACCGAATCCATGCAATATCGCTTATTTGCATGTAGGCGAAACAGTATTGTGTAGGCGTGTCAGAAAGGCGTGGTGAGTGCTTAAGCAGCAGGCGACGTGGATGAGAGATGAAGTCCACAAATCTATCAGCACAGAAATGAAAGTAGGCAAGTGATAGTAAGCCAAGTCCCGAGTGAATAAGCAAAAGTTTACATTGGGATCTATTGTGAGTGAGGTAATGATCATATCTTCGAACGGCCTAGCCATGAGCTATGATTGGCCGTTTTAACCCCGTGGTACAAGCTGTTCATTACGTTCACCCCCTATTGTGGAGGTAAGTGTTCGGAGCCGTCACGCAAGATCTTAACAATCTGAAACCACGAAAAGCTTCTGGCCACGAAGGCTTTATGAGTCATAAATGAAAAGACAAGACATAATGACGAAAGAGTGGGTGGTTTCGGGGGGGCCGCATTACTTCATCTACTTTCCTGCGATCTCTTCGGGCCAGAGACTGGGGAGTGTGCATACCGTTCTGAATTTCATCGTGAATATAGAGGATCGACTGAATCAAGCCTTTAGAATTGATCGATTCTGGATGCTTCCCGTACTCGATTACTTACACAGTGGCGTGTTCTCGCCCCGTCCCAGTGTTATGGATTCACAACCATATCTATGTTTGTAATAGATCTATCCTTTACACGAATTACTGATAACATGCTAGTTCAACATATTAAACTTATGCACAACTTGATCTCTTAAGATGAGACCACAGGCATGAAATAGCGGTATCATAAGTGTGCAATCAAGTAAGTAACTTAAGTTCTGTTGTTGGCGCGGTCCGCTCCTTCATCCCCCGAGCTTGAGTATCGCCACGGCCTCTCTGAAGTCCAGTGGCGATACGGTGTCTGAGGACCGCCCACATGTTGTGTATATAAACCCCGTGAATGTGTTATTATGACCGATCTTTGTAATAAACGTCGTAATAAACCTTTGTTGCAGGTCCCCAGTACAAAGTTCCTTTGGTAATCCATCAAATTGGTGCATCGGCCGTTGGAAGCGATCCTCCCGCGCTGGCTTTCCCAGTGAAAGATAGAAGGTAACCACTTCATCAATCAGCCGAATTTGCTCAATATTATTCCCTGAGGAAAGCAAAATCTGGCAAATCTTTGACCACATCACTGGTCAAAACTTGAGCTTCCATTTTGATTTCTCCTTGAGGAATACAGAAATCAGACATCCTTCTGCCTAGATTTCCCAGTGAGAAATAGAAGGACATTTCTGTTGTTTCCCACCGGTTGGAAACAAAAAGACCTTCCAAGCAATTTTCGTCCAGTAAGAAACGAAAGGCAATTTTCAAGTCTACTGCTTTTTCTCCAGAAGGAAACAGAGCTTGAACATGAAGGCCTACCAAGCTTTTTCTCTACAACGAGAACAGGTGGGCAGCGAAACCAGTTCTTCCAAGCAAATTGGAAAGAAATTAGGAAATTGCCTTGCGAATTCTTCAAAAGGAACCGGGAAACATGCACAAATTTTCTACACAACTTCTCCATAGTGAAAAAACAGAAGATAGCTAGCCAAACAAGCCTCCCTCAGACTACGGAAATTTGGCGAAATTTTGACTAGATCACTAATCAAAAAGTCAAATCTTCACATTAATTCCTCCCTGAGGAACTCAAAGACCCGCGTGGCAGGAAACACATCCTACACGAAACCATGGTGTTTCAAAAAGAGACATCGAACTGAGCTCAAACTTCACCCAGTTTAGACGCTCATTGGTTTCGAACAGCTTGTGCTCAAACCTACAAAGCACAAAAAAGCAACAGCCGATCTTAAACAGCTACAGCATCAAAATAGCGGAGATTCAACTGTTCAAGACCAGAATCACTCACGCATGCAAGCTGATCAGTTCAAGAGAGTCAGATCTCAAACTTTTGGACAACCTATTCACATTCTCAACTGAAAAGGAGGAATGTGAGTTTTACATAAGAGAAAAAACTGCACAGCTGAACCACTTGATAACAACAATCACAAAGGCGAAACAACTTCACAACTTCATACCTATATTGACAAAGCGATCGAAACAATTAGTTCACGATCGGAGCAGAAGGATCGTGAAAAGCTGATGCTCGACAAATTAACAACCACATGGAGCTCGACTCAAATGGCCTTGAAATCGCAATGATACAATGGCTTAGCAAGATTGACTTCAGAAAGGAGGTGGTGCAGCAAGCTGTTCACAGCGGAAGCCACCAGCATTGCCAGCCAGGCTGGTAGCAGCCAACACAATCCTAACAGCGGAGGGGATACTCTCAATACGTTGTACGACCGAAGCGTACGAGTTCGACGCCCTCTGTTTGGAGTTCCAACATTCACTGAAGACTACAGAGAGTTCAACACCTTCTGGTCAGTCTTCGAATCTCTCATACACAGCGAGACGGACATGAGTGACCAAGAAAAAGTCCTTTTCCTGGAACAATCACTAAAGGGAAAAGCAGCTGCTTCAATCAGCAGCATTCAAGTCACAGGCGGCAAGTATAATGTCGCGCTGAACGTACTCAAGAAACAGTACGACAGATCATCAGGCATAGTCGATATCTTAATAAACGAGATCGAGCATCTGCCTAGGGCTCAAGAAAACTCGAGGAGCTGTCGCAATACAGTCAATTCCTTATCTTCTCGTATCGTGCACCTAGAACAAATTGGAGTGCCAATGAACGCAGACAGAGTATGGCGACGTCTCATCCTTTCCGAATTCACATAGAATATCTGTAGCCAAATAATAAGAAAGAAAATCAGAGTGGCACAGGATTCTAAGTAAAGGATATTCGTGACACCGTTGATGGAATTATTGCGCATCAAGAAACTACCGCACTAACGACAAAGACGCTCTTCGGCACTCAAACCGCGCAAGCCATGCAGAACAATGCCAGAGGACAAAAAGGGGTACGCAACCAACTTCCGTCGACTACCAAACCCGCTCTACTATCGGAAGCTGACAAAAGCTTCATCAAGAGGGAGGAAATCATGGTTACTCAGCAAACTTTACGCCCGTCAGAATTTTTACCTGATTTACTCATTCGACAGGACCTCCTAAATTAAGTGATCGAACACCACAATCCAGTTATAGGGCTACCATCAGCATTAGTTCTCACTCCAACAGTCTTTGGCTACACCATTTCTGGTGCCAGCGGTACATTGCCCCTATCACCGGTAACTGTGATACAAAGCGTTCTTCGCTCATAGTAGCTACACCTGTTGCGCTAAGGAACGACAGTTCGACAGTAGAACATCTCTGTGAGTTGGAATCGTTCGGGATAAATACCCAGAACGGTACAAACGAGGCGGCAGTCATATGGACAACTACCAGAAGACCACAGTCATAGAAAATGGCAACATCACTGCTGGATTTCCCTTCACTGAATAGGTGAGGAATGAAGGAAAACTTCAGCGCTTAGGAAATTACAAAATCCCCTACGAAGACTCCATGGCGACAAAGAAAAACTCAAGCTTTACAGCGAAACATTCGCGAGCTATCTCCAGGAAGGAATAATCGAAGAAGCAACTGACCAGCCGGACAGAATTGCCACCTTTTACCTATCCCATCGACCTATGTGGACACCATCGAAGTCTACCAAGCTTCGAGTAGTATTCGACGCGTCCTCTCACGTAAAGAACCAACTTCGTCCCAATGACGTGATCTACGGAGGACATTCTCTTACACCTCTCATCCATGAGGTAGACCTGCAATTTCGAACGCACCAGTACACAATGGTAGCAGATATATAGGTCTATTTACAAATAAAGTTGCCCGAAGATCACCGAGACGACACACAGTTTTTGTGGGTAAAGGATATTCTCCGCCCAGCATCTAGCAGCCACATCAAGTACTTTCGCTTTTGCAGTGTACCGTTTGGCATCAACGCAAGTCCAGCCACTCTGAAACAGTGCATTCTGAAACACATTGAAAGCCCAGAGTCAAACATAGCTCAGGGACTATCTAACTCACTTTATTTCGACAATGTTCTACTCGAAGGAACAAGTGCAGATGACCTTGTTCACAAATACGCCGAGTCCAAAAAGTTGTTTTCGTCAATGTGAACGAATTTCCGCAACTATCTATCCAACTCTCCAAGCGTCAACGGAATACCAGAAGCTGACAGAACAGTCACAACTGAAGTCAAGGTTTTCGGGATACTATGGAATCTGTTGGGGATACGATATCGCTCAGATGTTACGAGAAACGCTTTGATAAGATCTTAAAGCGAACGGTCCTGAGCCAAATAAATGGCTTCTGTTATGACCCATGTTTGCTATCGCCACTCATGACTCCAGCGAAAGTCTTTCTTCTAGATCTTCACAAGCAGAAACACAGTTGGGAAAAGCTCCACTCTCAAGCAAGGCCAGAAGTCGTGGGAGGACATTAAATCCAACATAATATGGTTTCGAAATTATCTCACCACGGAAGATCGCGGAGAAGTCATCAGACAACACGATGTCAGTCTTCGTAGATAGACTTAAACGTGCGTTTGCCTGCCGCATCTACGCAACATCGACTTCCAACAAGGAACCTCGGAGACAAGACTTTTCGCGGCGAAATCGAAGATTGTCCCAATGAAAAAGAGCAGAGTATACCACGCCTAGAACTCCTATCATATTCATTGGACTAAGTCTTGCTGGATCAACAATACATAAGAATAACATAGAGATCAAAATTAATATCTTTAGCAACTCTACAAACGTTCTCTGTTGGATACAAGAGACTAGACGCCTGCCGTCCACAGTTGCAACACTTGTCCATAGAATCAGCCTAATCTGGAAAAGACTTCAAGAGTCCTGCGACGTCTCATTCTTTGACGAACCAACGCAAGAGAGTGTAGCTGACTGCGCCACCTGAGGTAAAGTCAAAGAAGATTTCGTCAATCATCGCTGGTGGTGTGGTCCTGTGTGGCTCAACATGCCAGCGAAGAGAAGGTAAAGAAGGCGGATGACTCGTATGAGCAAACTCCAATACCCAAGAAGTGAACTCTTACGCAGCCAACAGCGTGGCAGCAACAGCGAAGTGGCCGGCGGAAAACATCTGCAACTACCTCAAGCTTATCAGAATTTTTGCTTATTCAGCCCGTTTCATTCATAAAATAGCGAAGGGAAAATGTTTGGCTCTCAGCCCAGCTGAATTACAAACAAACGCAATATCTGCGGAAGTAGTCCAGGCTGAAAAGCTCATCATTCAACAAGAACATGCAATCTACGGTTCTCAGCTGATGACTCAAAACAAGGAACTCAACGTCAAAGCCGACAAATACGGCATATTCCGGAAATCTGGCAGACTTGATAATGCTGAACTCAGTTTCTCAGCTGCTAACCCTGCGCATATTCCAAAGTAAAGCAAGCTAGGACAACTATTTGCGGAGTTTTGACTTGATGTTTTGTTAACTGCTGTTTTAACACCGCAGTACGCGAAGCGGAAGTCTCACAGATTGGCGACCCGCTTGCCCTCGCCTTCTTAATCGCTAACCTTGTGAGAATTTCTCTTCGCGTACTGCGGCGTTAAAACAGCAGTTAACAAAACATCAAGTCAAAACAAGTTATATCACGTTAAGCTTGCAGCTTAACGGTTCAGTACTGATATCGGCCGACCGGCTCAACACGTTGTACGTGTGAGTGCTGATAAGCTATGGCATATAAGCCATTAAGAAGGCGAAGGCAAGCGGAGTCTCGGTAGTGTGAGCACGGTCCCCGGAAAGGACAAGTACGGGTTCGAGACTGGAGTTTTGCCCACAAATCGCCAACCTTGTGAGACTATTTGCGGAGTATCTACACAGAAGCCTTTCACACTGCGGAACTAACCAGTTGCTCTTCAATATTAAGCAACGATTCTGGATTCCGCACGACACGCTATTTTGCAAAAGGACGCTGAAGCATTGCGTCACGTGCGGAAGATTCAATACGGTACCGTTCAAGTACCCAAACATGGGTCCTCTGCCTACTGTACGTGTCACACAATCACCTCCATTTGCGCAAACAGCTGTTGTTTTCATGGGACCAATCACGGTGAAATCTATATCAGGAGAAGATTTCAAACTAATGTTGCTTTATTCACATGCCTGGTCACACTAGTCCTTCTCGAAGTGGCAATGGATCTCCCCGCATAGAGCTTTAACTTAACGCTCAAAAAATTTATTGCTTGAAGAGGAGTACCAGTGAAAATAATCAGCGATAACGGCACCAACTTTCGGCTGACTGAACATATTCTGTCCCAGAATGCAACAATGATGAAGATCCTCACTTGTCTCTATTTCTCGCAGAGCATCGAATAACATGGAAATTCATCCCCCATCATCATGGATGGGTGGTGTATGGGAAAGGATGGTTGGTACGGTCAAGCGATCACTCCAAAAAACAGAAGGTCGACGAAAGCTAACGGTTGGTTTGTTACATATTGCGAGATAGAAAGCGTTGTAAATTTGCGACAGCTTACTACAATAGGAGACCAGGACTCCCCATGTGAGGCCCTACGACCGACCCACTCCATTTATAAAGACATATAATATGGAACAACCCAGCTCGCGTCAGAAGACCACGACGGAGATCCAGATTTCCGAGCTCTTCCCGAACATTCTTCCCAAAAAGCAGCAAAGCTAGCGATATCGACAATCGAAAAGCTAACGAAGAAGTTTTGGAGATTATGGAAGAACGAACACCTCACAGAATTGCGAGATAGTCACAAAGTCATCGGGAAAAAGAGTAGATCCCCAGCCAGGTACCACGCGCAGGAGAGATGCTCCCTGACGACGACTCGCAACTGTCAAGAGGACAGTGGCCAATGGCCCTGATTACTGATCTTATCACAAGCAGAGACGGAGAAATTCGGAGCGCTATGCAACAAATTTCAACAGGAAGAATTGTGCGGAGGCCAATCAATCGACTTATTCCTCTAGAAATACACTCTTCTATTCACTCATCACACGACAGAAATGAAGTCTTCAACATATAGAGCAAGAACCACTACTTCAAGAAACCATTTTCATCATCAAGGAAAAAAGCTGACGCTCCCGTGAGACGTCAGCCACCAAGTGCTGCGAAGAACCAAGTTCCTCTCAACACCAGCGTCCCCAGCTAACGACGACGTCTGCAAACGAAAGGTATTTGTAAATAGCGTCATCCTATTCATAAGTAATGGAGTTTGAATTGTAATAATTAATGTTGTTGTTAAATCGTTAGCATGATAACTGGTCGTCTGATATTGCAAGTGCATTGCACAACAACTTTTACGTTAGCAATGCTGTTGTCATGCACATTATAGCTACCGCTATTCTCACCTCGCCCCAGTGTCATGGATTCACAACCATATCTAAGTTTGTAATAGATCTAGCCTTCACAAGAATGACTGATAACATGCTAGTTCAACATGTTAAACTTATGCACAACTTGATCTCTTGAGATGAGACCACAGGCATGAAATATCGGTATCATAAGTGTGCAATCAAGTAAGTAACTTAAGTTCTGTTGTTGACGCGGTCTGCTCTTTCATCCCCCGGGCTTGAATACCGTCACGGGCCCCCTAAGGTCCAGTGGCGATACGGTATCTGAGGACCGCCCACATATTGTGTATATAAACCACGTGAATGTGTTATTATGGTCGACCTTTATACTAAATGTCGTGATAAGCCTTTGTTACACGTCCCTAGTACAATCTTCCTTTGGTATCCAACAAATATCCTTATTATATATAAAGCGCTCGCGTCTGTTGTCTGTCTGTTTGTTTGTACGGAAATTCGACATTACCTGAAGAATCACCTGCAGAAGTCGGGTAAAGTTCGGGATGGGTTGGGCATAGGGTAGATGTAACAAAGCACATGCGATCTTAGCGGAGCTCCGCCTCCAAGGGGGGGGGGCACGCGCCGGAATGGGGCGGGGTCATGGGCAAATTCTTCTCATTCTGTCTAACAACAGTCCAAAAGCCGGGAAAATAATGTGCAAAGGTGAGGGATGGGTCAACAATGGATATAAAGGAAACTTACCGGCAGTGGGCGGAGCGTTCTCGCAGAGGGCGGTACTTTCCACAGAAATTCATAAATCGATTGAGAGAAGGCGTCGAGGCCAGAAAAAAATAAAAGGAGTGGGCAAGGCCTTATGCGTGCTGGGCATGCGTAAGATTAGCGAAGCCCCGCCCACGATGGGAGCGGGTGCGTTGAGGTGAAAGCTACTTTTCAAAAATGACTGTAACGTCGTTCACAAACGTTCTAGAACGCGGGAAAAACGTGGTTAGAGGTAATGGAACAAATGCGGCCAAATCCTCGAAGTGGGCGGCTTAGATCAAAAATTCATCTCTGTTCAGAACGTTCTAGAATGCGGGGAAAAAGTGGTTAGAGGTAATGGAACGAATGCGATTAAGTCTCGAAATATTCAGAGCTGCCACAGGGAAGCGGGGCTAGGACCAAAAATTCATCTCTTCAAACCAAACATTCTAGAACGCGGAAAAAATGGCTAGGAGCAGTTAGAAGAAGGGTGGTCAAACTTTTATAGTGAGATGGGTCTGCACCGAGGTGGACGGAGCTATGATAAACCACTGATATTTCTATCATATTCTGATAATCCAGCATTCCGCCGAATGACTCCATTGTAGACAAGCGGTCGTCGACATATAATGCACGCGTTAGCGTGCATAGCCCAAAAAAGATTAAGCAAAGCGGAGCTTCGTTAACCCATTGCATACCGTAGTGTATTCACGCTGGCTGGCGCATGTGCCCGGCGTTTTCTTCAGAATTGACGCACAGACGTGACTCGCGGCGTACAGCACGCGGCCACACAGAGAGGCTTCTTGAAGGAATCGCAGAGTATGTGCTGTTCAAACTTTATTCAAACTATAGAGTGATTATGAAGCAAAACGCGGGCACGCAGAGGCGAGGGTGCGTGCTTCACCATGTGTAGCACGCGGTACGCAATGGGTTAAAGGGAACACTCACCCAAGGGGCGCGGAAAATCTAAAAATAGTAAAGACCGGATGAAGCAAGATTCTTCAAAAAAAAAACGGATTTCGTTCGTAGAACTTGTTGAGTCCATAATAAGGCGCACAAAGTTGCAAAATGGGAAAGCCACTAGATAATAAATATACATCAGAAAGAGAGCTGTCTGCAGGAATCAATTCCAACTCGAGGTGACCATAAAGATACCAAAAAAGTTGGATGGATAAGCGGATGCTTAGGAAATGTATGAATTTTCTGGAAAAAATCAGGGTTTGTCAAGAGTCACGTGGAACATAGCACTCAGTAAGCTTCTCAAGCACGAACAGTCGTAGTGGTGTGCATTTGGATAGCAAACCGATGGAAAAACGAAAGAACGTCAGACGGGGCTTGTTACTGTAGGTCTACTGCATATAGTTAGTACACGGTAATGAAGATACTCAACAAGGTAAACTGAAAGCATTTCGTACTTTTGACACTTTATTGAGCACGATATTCTTAGATTTAGACTAAACACTACTCACTTCCTGTATTAAGTCATCCTGCTTCCTTTTTAGAGCTCGTGGTTCATCGGATGGCGCATTCGACGACTCTGGAGCCACACGTACGTGCTGCTGCAAATGGTTCTTCAATGGCTCACTTATAGAGAACAGCAGGAATGCATCATCAAAATATTCCCAACTTTTCTTATTCAACACAACCCCCTGCCAATTTTCGTTTTTCTTCTTTTTTTTTTGCCAGTCTTGCAATACTTGTATAGCATTTCATCTCTTCCTACTTTTCAGCGTCTTAGTAGCGCGGGGCCTCTCCCGCTTCATTCGTATGTCTTTAGCTAACCCGTCCTGATCCTAATTGCAATTCTGTTATGATATCCTATTACATATAGCTACGTGTGTCTGTTGGCTTGCCGGTGTGTTTGTGTCGGTGTGTGTGTGTGACCAGAAATTCATAACTCCTATCTCTGTGGAACACACAGAACTGGAGCCGGCAGGACGGGAACCTGCCGACTTCAGTTCTAGGTGATTGGACTTGACTCCGCTCTCAGGAAGGGGGGGGGGGCATGTGCGAAAATTTGTTTCCCTGGAGCTAGGGCGTTCGAATTTGTGAACAGAAACTAGCGTAGGTAGAGAAGACCTGTCAGGTTGGAAGGCATGGGAGTGAGCAGAGCCAAAGTACAAACTGTTTCGATATTTAACGATGTCGGTCAATCAACACCGGTGAACATCAACTTGTTATGTAATCAAGCAGATATTCACAGCTTAGCTTTCCTCAGCGCTGAACCGCAAATCCCGATGAGACCTTTAGCCGTCCTAATCTCCGAGAAATCCAGGCCTAAAACGCCCTTGGCCTATAGATGACTAGAAAGCTCTTGTAAAGCACAATAGGCAACCCAACTTAGATGGCCGAAAGAAGACCGTTAACCCCTCTATTTTGAACGACGTATTTAAATCATTTCGCAGTGGGTGGGCCCCAAGTGTCCTGACCCCTAGCTTGCCGTCGGTGGCTGTTGAAAAGCACACAGATCGAGAAACGGGGCGAGCTCGTTGGTTACGGCAAGACATTCATCTTTCCGATTCATTTTGGGATTTTCACGCTTATCCAAAAGTCTGAGAGTTTTCCGCGCTGAGATCGTAGGCTCTCTCATCAAGATCCTAAATGAACTCCACATCTCCGTGCCGATGATTCCTATGGTCTCCCATTCATGGCGTCGACTGTCCGCACAATAGAAGGCGCCAGTGGGCTGCGCATTGAAAATAACGCGAGCGGTAGACAAAAAAAAGGAGCCACAAGTTGAGACATGTTGAAAAGTGTGGGGAAGTTTCATTATGTTCTCCACGGTTGAATTGCTAGCAGCGACGGATGGTGTGGTGGATAGCGGTCTTAACTTCGATTTGGGACGACCAGGCTGGGTTGGTGGTTCGGATCACCGAGTTTTTTGACTACAAAAACGATATCATACCAGTTAACTATCATTTCACCAACTGAAGGGACTCTCGATATGAGGGATGCAAAAACAGCCGAACCGACGAAGAAAACTCTGTGAGGAAATTCAGGGGGGTTGCCGGGGGGGGGGGGGG